AATCAAGCTAAAACCAAATTCATAGACAACAAAAGTAAATCTTCATTATAAATTAAAATTCAAATAATTATACAAGATTTACACCAGAAAATCCTCAGATCCAATAAATCAACAAACACAAATCCTTATCAACACTTAGAATCAAAAATCTAAAGGAGAATTCACAAATCTAAATCAGTAATGAGAATGCATGATATAAAAAATTCACTAACATTAGTACACTACATACTGATAGTCAGATCAAATGCTAAATCAATAATCACGTAGAAAATAACTGCTAAATCACTCCATAAAATTACAGAAAGGACCATTGAAAATCACCGGAGAGAGAATCATTTAGCTAATCCTGCAAACCCAACAGGGGATAAAGATGAAGATTTAAACTTGGTTCAACCAAATCAGTCTATGACTCTAAGCTACCAAAAAAAAGAAGTCAATGACTTTCACTACCTCTACAGATTCACAATTCTATCCCTAATTTGGGATCTAATTCAATAGACAAATTTCTCTTAAAGCTACCAGAATAAGCTTCGATAGCCAATTTACCTCTACGCTTTTACAAAGTCCTGTCAAACGCAACACACAAACATTTCGATCATCAGGAAACTGGAAGCATATATATATATACTACCTCCGTTAATTATTAGGTGTAACGAAGGGGTATTATTTGTGAGACATAAAATATTCCTTTGTTGCACATAATAATTAACGGGGTAGTATAACAACACATTACTCATGCAATTGGAGAAAAAGATTTGTCATCCTATCGGTCTGAAGAAATCAAGTCATAACCCAAACAAAATTATTACTTAAGGCTTCTTTGAGTTGATTGATGTTCAAACGAAAATTACATAATTCATACACTACAAACCTTCGATGAACTGGTACCTTAATTATAAAAGTAATTAAATTTAACAACAATAAAAACTTGGTCCCAAAATGATTTGAAGTTGACTAACATAATTTGTGATAAGGAACAGGTAGGTGTGAATTAAATTAAAGTAATATACTGGGAGTAACCTTAAGATATTGCAATTTTTAAAAATGAGGGCGCTCTACCCACAAAGGTGGAGTAATATTACAAAATTGTGAAGGACCTTGATAAAATCGTTCGATGGTTTTCCTTTCTTCCAAGCTGTAAATGCCCATATCGCTTCCTCCTTTGTATCCAGGGTCACCACAACGAAAGACGTCGGTAAAATATACGCAATTAGCTTTACAGCCATGTTTATACGGTGATGCACCTACGGAGAAAGTAGAGTTAAATCCCAGGAAGATAGCATGTTCGCCCACACCCTCGACTTGTTTGAATTTTCCATCATCGACATTGCAACAGCAAAATCATCACTACAAGACGGCCTAGACGATATAATGAATTTGTAATACACAAATAAAGATATAACCTCATCCAATAATTCATCTTCATAAAAATGCAATATCTTTGGAAGAATACTCGGTGGCTTGATCACTTTACTAGAGAAAGGATCAAAAAGGGTGATGTTTTTATTACTGAGACTAGTAGAAATAAGCCACCCTTTCGAAGCGAAAAACATCCATCGGTCATCATGAGGCTCAGGCAGATTGATATTACGGAACATGTGTTTGGAGAGACTGTAAAGTCTGCGGTGTGAATTATTGGGAGGGTCTGCTAACATCAACCAAGGAAGTTGGGTGTTTTTATATGGACAGAATCCTTTATTGAACATCTCCAACTTGAACATACCAACCCAAAATTTTCAAAATCTTCCATACTTTCAAGATGCTCCATTGCAATTTTCCTACTAATTTCTTCAGGAATCTCACTCCAATTTACCATGCTTTCCATTGCCTTCAAAAGGGAAAATAATACAATCAATCAATAAAATAATTGCTTTGAAAATCAATGGCAATTTGAACATAATAAACAAAAATATTCGGTGTTAAGATAGGTTCATTATGTTTAAGATTAAATATGGTTACCTGGATAGATTTATTATTTATGGTAAATTGATTTTGTGTAGGTTTAAGAAAGTTATACTTGTATGTGGTAGGGTTTTATTTGGTTTGAATTACCTTTGCAAATCACAATTCAAATTCAATAAACAAGTTGATTTCAACTCACAAATTAAATTAAATCAGCAAACTCAATTCAAATTCAATTAACAATTAAATTTCAACTCACAAATACAAATTCAATTATGAACCAGAATTCAAATCATATAAAAATTGATTTCATATCGAGAATACAAATTCAGTCAACAATTGATTATCGTAACCTTAGAGGTAATTTGGTAATTATGACACTCTTATCAATCAAATACAAGTTCAGTTGGCCATCCAATCAAAAAAAATTAGCATAATTCAGAATCACAAACACAAACTAAATTAACAAAATTGAATTTGCATCCAGATATATATTCAATTAATAAATAAATTTGGCGTCACAATGATAGATAGACTTACAGTACAAGACAAGAACAGATTCTATTCAGTCATCCAAATTGAAGTTAGGGTTGGATTGAATGCTTCAGTAATAAAGGGGGTTTATTCGTTATTTTGTTAGCAATTTGCCCACAATTGAAACAGAAATTTGCAACCAGAGAACAGGTCAGAATGAATCCTTTGCGTATCAAGGCTAAATTCAAACTAATATCCCACAGTACTTGAATCCTAATGATCTCGCTGTTAAAATAAAAGTTTCCTAATTTCCCTTAGATTTTAAAAGATAGAATTTATATCTCAATTAACTATACTTATATGTTTTTATAATTTGTTATATACACTCGGGTGCACCGTACACCTAACTAACATAAGGTTAGTTATTGCTTTTCATTGGATGATTAAATGAAAAACAATCAACAAAATGAGAAAAAAATACTTATTGATGTGCGATACACCCGATGTATATAACAATCTCTCATATGTTTTAGATAAAAACAATATAGACTACAGAAAAATATTAATAAAGTTTTGTGTACAACGGATGTACGTTAATCTATTGTTAAACAGGTTAAATTTATGTTAAACTTATGTTACTTAAATTACCCTTTATACTGCTTATTATCTTTCTATCAATAAATTTTATCTTATAAAAAAATTATAATGTATTAGATTAAATTATATTAGTCTTTATAGTAATGTAATCACGGGTCTATAAGAAATTACACAATAAAATTCAATTTAAACCAACAACAAATTAAAAGTTACCATTTAAGGGGTTAAAGTTACCACAAAAATACTGTAGTTAAAGTTACGCTCAAATCGACTGTTTTCAATAAATTAATGTACACCCGTTATACACAAGACTATTCAAAAAAATTAGTCAAATGCATTAAAGACGAGCTCGGTCCAAGAGTCTTTGGGCCAAGGATTTACTGCACAGTAGAGATCACGTTAACTACCCAATAGTGAATACGAGTACCAGAAAATGGTGAAAATGATTTATTTATTGTAAATACTATGGGACCCATTGAAGGACGGCTTATAAAAAATGTGATACAAATATAATATATATAAATAAAGTAGGTATTTTTAGAGAGCATTCGGAGCGTCACGTAAGAAATATACTTATTTCGACCAATAAGAAGAAAGATTTGTATTTTATTTTTGAATTAAAAAAGTATGTCGCCGCCTAGATAAAAGTAACGAATTAGATTTGATATATCTAAAATTTTAATGTCACGTAGATTATATCCACGAATTAAATTATTTAATGAAAAAAAATAAAGTAAAAATATAGGAAAAGATAAATTTATTAATTCAATACTACGAGTATAGGAAATCCAAAAAAAAATACTAAAAAATATTTAAATGATAAACGCTTATAATAAACTTTGATACCTATCATTATAAGATAAATTTTGACAGTATTTATGATAAAAAATACAAATTATTCGTTAATTATAATTAAATTAAAATTTGTGATACCTGCCATTATAAATTGACACATCATACGACACAAACAAAATTTCGTATCAATAAAAAAACCCCATCAAGAGAATTTTGTGTTAATTTTTGGTCATCAATGGCCAGGTAATTTTTAGCTTAATTTTTAAAATCTTATGTTTAAATTAGTATTTCTAATTATTACTTACATTGTATTAATTTGGAATACTCAACGATTATATGTTTATGTTTGATTTACTAAATGTTTTTTTACATGCAGATCTAACACATCATACGACACAAATAAAATTTCGTATCAATACAAAACCCCATCAAGCGAATTTTGTGTTAGTAATTTTGTGTTAGTTTTAGGTCCTTAATGTCCAGGTAATTTTTAAAATCTTATGTTTAAATTTATATTTGTAATTATTAGTTACACTGTATTTATTTAGAATACTTAACGATTATTTGTTTATGTAATGGCATACGATTAGATGTTGTATACTTAAGTATGGATGGCTTTGATTATTTTTGGAGATGATGAAAAAATTCCAATGCATAGTTTTGATTTTATATCGCAACAATTTTTCATTTATTGGTAAATATATTGATTTATTTTATATAAATGTAAAGATTTAATTTATATCAATTTCAGTTTGGCTAACATTTCACGGTTCAATTTAACTACTAATGTAGTAGGTTGGTTGTGGACGAGGTTGGTGATTCTATCGAAATAAAATATATGGTAAAATAATGAATAATGATTTAGGATTTAAATTATTAAAAATTTATCATTTCACATTAAAGATTTTATATAACGGATAAAATATCATATTTACAATTTATTTATATTTAATAAATTCATTATAAATTATAGTAAAAAAATAATTTAAAATTAAACTTTTGTAATTTTGTCTGAAATTATTAAATACAATAAACAAATAATTAAAAATCTTAGATGATCTTAGATGATAAAACCGTACATCGAACGGGCTTCTATCTAGTTCAGATTATTTAGAGGAATTTTAGAAACTGTTGGGTAGTAATTAGTAATTCAATTTTATTGTCACTTTGACTTAGAAGAGTTCTAGCAAGAGATTGATTGTGTGGTTTGAAATATTTATAATGTCAGAATATAAATTAGATACTCCGTATTCTCATTAGATTGAACAAAGTTGGAAGTTGCTGATAATGCTGAATATTACAAATCTTGTAGCATATATATATATAATACTTTTCGAATATGAGATACAATTATTACAGTAACAATTTAAGATCTCAAATTTTGTTTTGAGAACAACAAAATGGGATTTTTTAAAAGCAAATTAAACTACATCATCTGGTAATAATCATCCATGATCATTGATCTTTGTTAAAGATTGTTTAGCTCATTGGCTTTCTAACCTGTCTCTTAATATCCTAACTCCCATGTACCTGCAAAATTAGCATATGATTAGTATACTAATTTGAAGAATATGATGATATAATTTGTATGTAATTAATTAGTACCTTCCAAGCATCATAACAGTAGCCTGAGGATTAGTCCCAGGGGAGTAATAAAAGGTGGATCCATCAACGACTCGTAATGAATCGATTCCAATAACCTTATAATCCGAATCCACTACTCTTCCGACTAGACAACCTCCATGGTAATGCCAGATAGTCATGACTGTATCCTTGCAGAACTGCTCGAGCGAGGTTGATACGTTGGCGTGGTGAGGCAGCAAGTTTACAGGGGTACTAGCTGTCATGTTGAGGAGTGTATGAACTGATATACCTTGATACTTGAACTTAGAAAATGGTTGCGATTCTATCACTTTTTCTATGGTTTGGAGCCCTTGCACACACCTTTGTAGGTCCTCGGGTTCCTGGAAGTAGTTGAAGGTTACTGATGGGTTGTCGTTTGGGTTGAGACTTTGAAGCTCGAGGTGACCTGTTGATATAGGACCCATTATTTTTTCGATTATGAACCCGCCTTGGAAGGCTATGTCTGGTAGGTTAGACATTTGCTCTATGGCCTCGGCTAATGCCTCTGGGGTTCTTTGCTTTGGTGGTACTATTGATAGTTGACCAATCTGTAAAATGTAACACATCATATTAGCAATGTTATGTAAATAATTTGTAAGAAATAGTAAAAACTTCTTCAATCAACCTTGAATTATACTTAGAATATATTACCTTTGGAGAGAGCATACCAAAGTCTCTTGGGTGAGTGTTGCTTCCACCAAAGTTCTCGCCGCTAGCAGCCTCAATGTAGCTACCAAAGGGGGTGATGCCGACGACTTGGATGAGGGAGACCTCCACAGGGAGAGGAGAAGGGATGTAAATTGCATTCATTGGATTGTCTCTCATACCTTGCCCAACCATGGGCTGATCCAAAACTAGGCTAATATTGTGGGACTTAAGATGATCTGCTGGCCCAACTCCACTAAGCATTAGCAATTGTGGACTTCCTAATGCTCCAGCTGAAATTATGACTTCACTTTTAGACCCGGACTTTAAGTAGGCTGTGTGTCGTACCCCTTGCGCATCCACGAATCGCACCCCGTGGGCTTGTGGCCTCGCCACCCCTATCCGTCGTTACATAATTCAATTAAATAATTGGGAACAAAAAGTAAAATTGTTGTTAAATTATTACTTCGACAAGCGTGAAAAAAAATGGACTTAGTCTGTACCTTTTGTTTTGAACAAGATCTTGTGGACAGTAGCATGTAAGAGCACATTAATTCCTTGGGGATTAGCATACCCCAACAAATTAGCAGCAGTATGCCTATTTCCTTCTTTATCAAAGATGGACCCACCAACTTTAGTCCCATTAATATGATCATAAGTGAACCCATTATTAGGGACTATTCCAGCTTGTAGTAGACCATCCCTAACGGCTGTTTGCCATTCCCTCATTGGGGGTTCGAACGCCACCACGTCCTCGACCCAGTGGTATGACTCGTTTACGAGACGTGAGTCCCACCCCACGTCTCGTACATAGCCGGGTCCTGCACGGGTGTAGAACCCGGCATTGAGGCAGGACCCGCCCCCTAGGACACGGGCCCTTGCATTGATGACCCCGTCCTCGGATATAAATCGTTGGGACGGGGAAGTTGGGGAGAGGTCCGAGAGGGCGGACCCAAAGGAGGATAGTAGGGTTATGTTCGAGTTTCCATACGGTGAGCCCCCTCGCTCCAGGAGTAACACGGTTGCGTTCTGGGATAACGTTGCAGCTAAGGGACACCCGGCCGTCCCACCCCCGACAATTATGTAGTCGTAATAGGAGGTTGGTGGTGCCGTTGTTGCATTATGGACAAAGCTATAGTTGGGAGCTGCCACCAAAATCACGTCCAAAAAAATTAAAAATATCAATAAGATGTTGCATTCGGGTTCATAATGGTTAGCGTTACATGATTACACCATTTTATATGTACATGTATTACACTAATTATGCCTCTTTCTATAAAAAAAAAAAAAAAAAAAAGTAACATAATTCCTTTGAAAAGCTTGAATATTATCATTTAATGCTATTACTAGTTTTACATTATGCAAAGAACCTTTCTAAAGTCGTTCTAAGTCTTCTAACTGCTTTTGGCTACACTAATTACAAATTAAAATATGCTTGTATACTTATGTAAAGTGGTTGAGTTCTTCATTACAAAAGACAATATTTTTCCAAAAAAAGTTGCGATGTCAACTAAATTTTAAATGGTGTACGCTTATTTATAGGTCATATTCGTGCAAATGGGAGGGAGGAGCATTATGGCAACCTACAAGACTACTAATGCTTATAGTAGAGTATTATTGTGTTTTACAATTAAGGTAAGGCCATCGATATATGGGATCTAAGGTTCAAATCTCAATTAAATTTGTATATCTCCGTGTGTTAATTAAACTAACTTTTTATATGTTTATGCTACATATAAACAATAAGTAGTATATATTCACTCACTCCTTCTCAAAGTTAATTTCATGACACTTGTTTTTTTCGTAATTTACTACTCCTTAAAAATGATCTGAATACTTTGTACTCAATCATACATACATATCAATAAAACTTACTACAATGCAATTTTTATTTTATATTTTATTTATTTATTTGTTTTGGTTTTGTGTACTATATAGAAAAGATAAACAAGTACTATATAGCGTTTTCCAATATAAATTGTAAAACTTGACCTTATTAAATAAAAAAATAAAGCATGAGTAAAGTTCAATTTGGACGAAGAAAACACTATAATCTTCCTATTTGAGCTAATCCACATTATTAAAATTTACACACAAAAAAAAAGGTTAGCTAAGACAATAAGCACTTTTGTTAAGCTCCTTCAACTAAAGTAAAACCCTTATTAATTAGTGAATTAGTCTACTCCTTCATCTTTAATAGTTAGTTCCTATATTGACAGTGATTATCTTATATAAAAACGGATAGAATAAACTGACTATAACGTGCATGTATGTATATTCAAAAAGCTAGTTAATTAGGAGAAAAGGAATAAAAATTACCTTTATCTGAAGAAGAAAGGCCATGAAAAAAGAAAGAAGCAGCAACCAGCACTCTCCACCACCCAATTAGCCTTCCAACTGACTTACTCATTTCTGTTAAAATCTTTTCAAGCAACTTTATCTATAATAGTAACACTCAAAATCAACTAACAAGAATTAGAAGTTTTTGGTGTATATTACTTAAATTGCATGACTAATAACTGAACTTATTATATACTACGAGAAGAATACACTAAGAATAAAATATAACTAGACAGTCCAAATATAGTAACTAATTAACGATCAATTTGGACGCCTAAAAATACTACCCCACTACAAAGATGATGCAAAATATATGTATATATAAATATATATACCAAAGTTTTAAACACCCTCCCAAAAATTTAAGGCAAATATTTCGAAACTATATTATACCACTACTAGTAATTAAGAAAAAAAAAATTCACAAATTTATGAGTGAATATATAAAATATTTTTATTTAGTAAGTGTGACAACTTACACAACGTGGAGTATATGGATACCGATCGAATTTGAAGGATTTTTTTTCTTTTGGGGGGGGTGAGAAAGAGAGAGTAGAATTAGCAAAATGTTTGTACAAACATACACACTCCCTCTCTCTTTTTGTCCCTCTCAACAAGTCACATTTTTAGAGGTTGATAGGAGAGAGAGAAAGAGAGATGCTTAGGTGGTGGATTAATTGATTGTTGCAACTAATTTTGGAGACATTAATTGTTAAGTTTGTACTTGATAGTTTAGGTTTGAGTACAAGGTATCTAGAATAAATATTTTACTACTCAAGTATTTGACACTGAGAAAGTACAAATTTTGCAGTAAACTTGGGTTAACTTTATGTTACAACACTTGTAAAGTTGTAAGCATTTGTTAGAATATAAGAGATGACATAGTAATCTATACTACTTGTGTTATTGTGTATATATTAAAAGGCGTTTCTAAATAAGTTTAAGTGCCACATGACACCTTTTATTTACGTGCTTTAAAAGATGGCTTATACAAAATTTGAACCTACGACCTTAGGTTTTAAAAGTATAGTGTTAGCCACTAATTAGCTATTACCATATTATTTGTCATTGTATTATAAATAAGGAGTCAATCATGAAATTAATACGTTCTCGGAGCAATGCCTGAACTTATAAACTAGTTCAGAAGTAAAAACTTGCTTTGTTTTCAAATAACATTAATACCATGAATAAATGACGCAGTGTTAAGGGGGATTGATCATGTGATGATGAGGAGAGAAATGAATAATTGAACAACATGAATATTTTTGAGCTATAAATATATGCTACATGAACTCAATAACCGACCTACTTAACTGGTTAATGTAAAGTCAAAAACTATTTCGAAAAGAAGTCTATTTTTATCATTATTAGCCACAATGGCCTACTTGAAATGGTCTAGTGTGTTCAAAACCTTCCTCATAAATATGAGATCTCTCTTGAACGGGATGTCTAACCCAAGGTTAGTTAGCATTTATATCCAACCCGAAAACAAGGGTGAAGAAAACCATCTAAATCATGGTCTTCATTGATCAATATAACATTTTCTTCCTTCTTTAGTCTTCTCTTTGCCTCATCTAGAGTCATAACAAATGAAAACATTCAATCACACACATGACACAGTGCATAATTAAAGATGAGTTATTGGCCACAAATATGGAAACCAACGAGTTCATGACTCAGTAGAAATGTGAATATGTTATACATACTGTTATATGCTAAAAGTCAGTTTTTATAATTTTGCTGCCAAATTAGGTATGAATATAAGTTATTAGTTTTGATGCATTTTGGTGAATTAATTGTTGGAAATGGATGTATATGAGCACAACATTCACAAACTTTATAGTTGCTGACGTTTCAAATAGGCATGTCAAGAAAATGTCCTGGAGTGGATAACCCCAACTAACTTTATTACTCATTTATGCCAAAACTGTACCCTAATTAGGATGAACTCTTCATAACCCATGTTAGAGTTTACTCGATTCCAAACGATTCAAATAAATTTTTTGATTGAAATTTTCTAATAAATCAGTTAATAAAGAACTTGAACACCAATCGAATCAATTTAAAGTGCATTATCAAATATACCAAACTATAATCAAAAGAAACAATTTAATTGTGAGACAATGTATATTATGAACCAAACTAGAGTTAGCTTTCTATTGAAAGAGAAAGTGTAAAGATTTGAGCATATGGTAGAAATTTCTTCCCTTTTTGATTGCCTCATTTCTTGTTTTTGGGAGTACTTAATTTATTTTCCCTTTCTGATTGCGTCATTTACTTGTTTTTGGGAGTAATAATACTACATAGTTTTACCTCTGTTACAAAATAGTTGCATCAATATACTTTTGACACTATATTACGAGTACTTCGAGTACATTTTCAGGACAGCTATGAGTACACACAAGTGTTTTTCTACTAAACTATCACTGGTTTCAACCATCAGGCCCATCTCTATCACTAAGCTGTCTGAGTCTGAGGACAATACAGTTCTAGATAACCACTAAACAGAACATGAACTACTCAGCCTCAAAAAGACGGTTCATTCCCAATTTCGGACAAACAATCGGTTTTAGAATAAATCAATACATTGATTCTGTGTTATATCACTAACATCATATTTCAAGTATCGGAAACTTAAGCGATTTATGCATGTTCGAGTGTATGTGCTTTCTCCCCAATTTCCCACGGTACTATTAAGTACTCCGTATATCACCGTTATCAAATATCGGAAAATTTCATGTAGTAGGGATTAAATTTCAAAAAAGCTGCACAATAATCATGCAGAGAGTGACGAATATTAAATTACAAACATTATTACTGCCCACAGCAAACTACCTCAAGTATTAGCTAATTGAGGGCAAACTAACAAATAGGCCTATCTTGCCCTACAATATACAGCAAGAATTGTGAAAAATCAAAATTGTAAATACCACCAAAAATTTGAGAGTTAGGAACAGATGCAGATGCAGGAGAAGCTTAGGACTGTAATAATCTAGTGCTACTGGAAAGACCGATCAGTACAGGGAGTTGTAGGTGTAGCAAGTAGCAATTATGCAGCCAATGCAGATGAATAAAGAAGGAAGAAGAGTCAAATTCAATAGAGTACTTTGACCCAAGAGCCCGATCAGGGTGATTGTGCCATCGGCAACCACTCTTGCCAGAGTTCCAGCTTCTGTTGATAATAATCCACCATTGTATGTTCCGCGTGAGAGTCTTGATGACATAACCCGAGAGAGGAGCGACAGGTTGACCCCTAAAGATCAAAAGTTTGTTGAGTTTCAAGAGAAAAGCCATGAAAGTTTATAAATATAATTAAGGCAGATGAAAGCAATTGCTACGAAGAAAGAGCTTGCAAAGATTCATCAAAATATTAACTTATAAGGTTATTCTACCTCCGTCCTGTATAAAAGACTTGCAAAATTAAGCAACAGGAGAGGATACATCTTAATCAATAAAAAGCTATACAAATTCTGAGTCTAAATGACTCAATCCTGTTTGTAAGTGGTAATTAACAAGAACAACTAGGAATAATTAGTAACCAAATAATGCCAATTGTAAAATGAAGCTTGTATTTCGACATTTTAGAAAATTAAAAGCAGTCAGCAATAATATGAGAGGTCCCCAATTCTCCATTTAAGTCAAATCTCAGGCTGTCTCTACCTCCATTAAAATTTCACAAAAAGACAACTTTCAATGACTGCCAAATGATTTTGCAATCTGCTTCCAACATATCTGAAAATGACTATCTAATCTACTAGTTTATGAAATATTTACAGCTGTTCATTCTAAGGCATATCAAACTGACCGAATATACTGAAGCCTAAGGTGTCAAACGAAATAAATATGTTTAAAAATGAATATTTTTAAGCTACATGTCAGTTGTTCAATGATGATTATTGCGTGTTCATTAGTATCATTTATAAAGGTTAACTCTCATTGTTTCAGTCAAAATCCTACATGCATCTCATAGCTCAACATCAAGCATACAATAATCTCCAAACTTCCTTAAACAAAAGACAAAGTGTGACAGGAGAGAAAATGTTAATACTACCAAACCATTAAATCACAAAATAGACTACTCCCAGGGTTCAGGAGCACAAAAAATAAATTCCCAACAGATATAGCAGTAATCCCTTGTCTATTTGCTTTAGATATTCCCTCCTAAATCTATAAGGTTCCACATGGATGCTGGTCAGTTATGCCAACTCTCTGTTCCAGTACAGTAAGCTTCAAATTCAGGAAACTAATTGAATGTACAGTTTATAGTATAGACATATGTAGTAATAAGAAGCCTTACCCTCAAGAACTTCAGCAGAGACAAACATGATCAACCCTGAACAGACATATTGGGGCACAGTATACGGAATTATTAAGTTGAAGCTTAGCAAGATGCCAATGCAAACCATAATCTCAGACGCCAATAAAATTTGCCTGCAACCAGATATAAGTGTCAAAATATAGTGGGTGTTTAGTAGATAAAAAAAATCAGCTACTACTGGCAAACAAGAAAAGCTTATCAATACGACAACTAACTTGCTCCAAACTTCTTTCGATCTAACTTCCTTAAAAAGGTAATTTTAATTTAAAGTCAAGGTGCTAATAGAAAATTCTTTTTAAGCTATTGAACAATTAGCAATACAAAGGAACACCTACGAAAAGCTGCCAGTTGAAGTGGTGACTTTATTTATTGATCTCAATTTTATCCACTCTTTTAAATCCTCTTTGGGCAACAAAATTTCACAGCATGAACACACTAAATTTTATGTGCTCCCATTGGAAGAGATCATATTTTTATACCAAATACTGAGGATAATCAAGAACAATTACCTCTCCTGAAACATGTTACTAATGTAGCTCCCAACAATAATATTCACGGGAAGTACTGTCAGTCCAAGGCAGGCAAGGAAAATAGACACTGAGCTTGTAGACCAACCAAAGTAGTATGTCGTAACAACACTAGATTCTGAAAGTAATATCTCCATCGCATACTTGAGCATAAAATAAATCAATAATTGGACCTGAAAACATCAGAAAGGAAAATGCAAAGTCAGTAACAAAATAACAATTAGACAGATGATTGTTGTTACAGTTTCTATATACTCCACCCATTTATAAATAAACAATTTACCACTGATCATGTAATCCTAGAATATTTTTAAAATACATATAATATACATATAAAAATGACAAAAACTTGATGAAAATGTCCAACCATGATCTCTCTCCTTAGGAAAGTAGAATGTAACGAAAGGAGAGATGGTGAAACCAATCAAGCACAAAATGCTTCTTAAAAGACCTACACACTTCAAAGACTTAATAATATTTTAATGGTGATTTAAACAATGAAACAACTAGGATTGAAATAATTATTATAATGAAAAACTCCGTAACTAAAACAGAAATTTCATCCCTTGATATTTGTTTTCTCATATAATCAAGATGGTCACAAACGGGGGGAAATTGGTAATCAAAAGGACTCAAAAAACCTTTATTTTCTTCCTGAATGTAGAAATCACCCAGAAAAGAAACAAATAGAAGGAAATTGTGATATTTGATATTGTCGACCCCCATATCAGAAACAAAAGCTTCCTATATTAGTATATTACTATGTTTAACTAGTTCCTATTTGGCTTCCTGAATCCTGAAGGTGGAACACTAGATAACACTCTACCTAACATTCCTATGTTAAATGTGCAAAACAAAAATAAATTAGATGTTACAGATGCCTGTCTTACATAAAGACATATCTAGCCATAATACCTACACCACTAAAAGGCTTCTGTGATGTTTGGCCAACACCATAATAGCCGAAGAACCAAGTTTCTTCAACTAGAAGGAAATATACTTCAAGGCACATTTCTGCTCAGCAATCTCATCAGAACCAAAACTCTATTTCCATCATCAGCACTTGCAGTGAGAAAGTTCTAAAGATTTTTGGCCCAGTATTTGCTATTTTTTTATTCATGATGACAGTTATAAACTTATAATTAATATCAGAATGCTTTTCCTTTAGTTAACAGCACAAAAGACCTAGGCTTACCCAACCAGATTATAGCAGTAAATGCCTTTAATTTAAAAATGAAACCTGGAGGACATCAACTCACTCAGACAGTCATAAGATATTAAAAACTGAACCATTGAAATTTAGAGTACTAAAAGCAATGCGATATTGTCAAATTGATATATGCAACTGAATTTGCATTAATTAGCTCATTAGCACTATCAAAGATTATACTAATTACCAAGTAATTTGAGTTACATATCATAATGTCAGTATTCAATAGTCAAGTCATCCATGAGGACCATGAAAATATCATGTTCCAACAACTTTCTCCATTAAATAAAACACAGTCCAAGCTGAACACTATACACAGTATGGCAAAGGTATAGAAGTTCTGGTAATCATTTGATTGCATACCTTAATAGAAGGTGTGAGCAATCTGTAAGCAGATGCAATTGAAGTGACTGGCTTACGGGAATCTTCAGGAGCTTCTTCACTCTCATCTGCATCACCATCACCATCATCATCATCATCATCTCGTACCTTTTCGTCTGAATTTCTCCCATTCTGTTCTGATGTCAAAAGCAAAGGTTGCTTAACACCTCTCTCCATAACATCACTCTGCTTTGTTTCTGTCAAAGGAAATGGCTTGGCTGCTTAATACTTTAACTTTCTCGACAGTATAAAAGAACAATATCTTAATAATGTAAATGTACACAAATATCAAAAGTCATCAAGACAAGCAGTTAACATAAGAACCGACCAGCAGATGCATAGCTCCAACATAGCCTAATCCAGCTAGGGGAAAACTCCCTTTTTATCCACATTAAGGAATAGTAATAATATCAAGAATTTGTGGAATTCCCATTATAGTCCTCATTGGTATTTGAATTTAACATTAATTTCACACATTGCCAAGTCAAGTCAATGAATTAGGGGAGTTTCAAATATGGAAAAGAAAACCAACAAGAATGGCATCATAATATTTTCCATATAGAAACACTGATGTCTAGCCAACTAGTTCAACATCATCAAACTACACAGCTCAAGGCAACCCATTAACAACTACAATTTTGCAGGATACAAACCATTTCATTGCTTAACCAATTATCATAATTCTCCAGAGTCTATAGTGGATTTCTTTCTAATTCGTCCCTGAGTCGTATAAAAAGCATACCTGTTGTAGATTGTTGTTCCACATGGTCATCCTCATGTGCAGGTTCTTTAAATGCAATCCATAGCCAAACTAAATAGAGTAGCCAGGCGACTGCCATAATCCAACCAGGCAGAGTATCCTGGTTGAAGGTCCAGTTAAAAAGCTTGAAATTTGTTTGAAGTAAGCCAGCAAGAGCAGGACCACATGCCATTCCAAGAGCACTTGCACTGACGAAACCAGCTGATGCTTGCATTCTAATCTTAAGAGGCACACAGTCACTGATGTAGCGCCGGTTAACTGCTCTAGCAGAGCCTAATCTGAAAAATAAACAATTTTGCTAAACCATCCAAATCATTGTTCCCAACAATAGACACTTGCCAACAAAGAAAGCAATTATACGTATAACAGATGAATAATAAGCCATTATTCTGGTAAGATCCAAGTAGAGAGACAATCTCAACATACCCACAGAAAATACGACCAATCAAGAGAATCCATATTGAGTTGAAATCATAAGCCATTGCATACATGACGTTTCCCACAAAAAGAACGATGCTGCTGAATACAAGAGGTCTGAAGTATGATCTGTTAGACCAGGCACTAAAATACACAGAAGAAAATACTTGTGCAACAGCCATTGCCCCAATAACAATACCACAGACGGTTGCAGCAGCTCCAAGGCTCATGGAGTAATCATCAGCAGTTGGAACAATAATATATGTATTGATCATATATAAAAAAGTGTTCGCTAAGTTCAAAATAAGTGACATATAATTGTATCTTTTGTCATCGATTTGCTCCTCAACTGGACTTGGTAATATCTCCTCCTGCATGATAAGTGCATGTTGTGCCAGGAAGTGAAGGAAATTTGTTGAGTAGCCCAACCTATCTACAGCTGATTTAATCGAATCAATTACAGGATCCTGCATAACATTTTAGTGGATAAGCAAGGAATGCTCAACAGATTGAAATAGCAGAAGCATTCAATCTAGCCAAAAATTAGCAAGCAACCTGAAGGGGAAAAGCGGGCTGATCATAAATCGAGGCATAGCTTCCTTGACGCTCCTGCAGGTCTCCAAGATTGCGAGTAATAGCTCCCACTACTGCTCCTATTCCCTGCTCGTAGTGAAAAATCATGTAAGTGAAAAATGCTCGAATTAAGATCCTTGTGTGATTTTAAGACTGACATAAGAGTTTTTATCAGACTTAGTAAACTCACCACATGCTTGAACACTTGCTGGAGCTGGGAATAAGGATGATTAGCACGTGTTTTGACATAGTAATCAGTGAAACTATATCCAAATCGTTTATCAAACTTCTTAAGAATCTTACGAAGACCTATCGCATTAACCTCAACAAAGTAAAGAAGCTTTAACAGATCCTGCCCAACTTCTCTATATGCTTCCCGTAATTGACATATCGTTGCTATGTCAGACTGTTGATCAGGAGAGTTATGCTGCTCACCAAGTTTGGCTAACCTCCCAGCGAGTAGCCCTTGTTGTTCCAAAAGGAAAAGGACAATTTTTTCGATCTACACATCACATCATAGTATTTGAAAATATAAGAACAATCAAAAACTTTATTTCCTTATTTCAACTGCCAATCTAAGAACAATCAAAAACCTTATTTCCTTACCTGAATATCTAGCATTCTTGAGAAGTCTTTCAACACCTGTCGTTTGTCCAATGTTCCATTCTTTATATGTTGAGCATATTGCTTGACTTTCTTCTTCATTAATTTGTAGTCAATATAATACCTGAAACAAATAATACACCCTCAAATAGATTAAAATCTACTAAACAGAAGTAGCTAAATGACCATCAACATTGACACGACAGCAAAATAAGGCGTCAAACATCATGTCCATATAGAATCAGTAATGCAACCAAATACCTTCCACTGATTGTGTCATTGTGTGTCTACATCATAAAATCGATGTGAAAAATGCAATAAAAATTGTACTTATATTCCATACTTTAGTTGCACAAAGTAGCACCTCTATGTCTGTAAAACACCTGAACAAAAGCTTCATTCATCATAATACTCATGGTTTCAAATCTTGAATAAGGTCGTGATTGCAGTAACGGTAGTAGAACCACTTTTGTGGGTAATGCGGATAGTTCGCCGCCTAATATCTCAGTCTTGGTAAGTTCAAAAACCTTTAGAAAGCATTGGCAATGCAAAATACTATGACACTAATGGCCCCAGCACAAGTATATCATACCTGGTGCCACAAATCTCTTTCTCATTTTGCAGCTAATACATATAACATGTTTTTTAAAATAAAAATAAAAAAAGCTAATACATATAAGTATATAACATAAAACTACACACAGTTCCTGACTTTTACTAAAGCCGTAATCTTCTTTTGCATCTTCTCGTGAGATTTAATGAAACAAAGGTTTTGACTTCAACAACCCCATAAAAAAAAACTAACCATTCAGTGAAAACATTGTTTTCCTGTTAGTATTTACATTCCTTGGCTATCCTTGCCCCTTATTTTAACTTTTAACAGTGTTATATCACTCTGATCAGACAGCAATTTCAACACATAAAGTAATTTCTTTGTTGGATTTAAAAACTACAAGCTATACTTGTCAAGAATTAGAAAACTAGAAACACAAAGTATAGCAACGTTAAAAAAGCCAAAAAATCGAATCACAAATGTAACATACCCTTCCCATTCTTGAAGTTGCCTCTCTTTTAACTTCTTCCCAAAAGCAACCATCGTGAATGATCTGATAAACAACAAGGGATACAAATGATCAGTCTTTTGGTAAAATGCAAATTCAAACCAGCTCCTTTCAAAACACTACAAATATACCAAATGTAAATATGTTATTGGCTGCTAAACTACTGACCAAATCATAAACACCTTTGCACCCTTAACGACACAGCCTAATAGGGAGATGATAACTCTACACGCTCACTAATTAAACAAAAAAACGTCTTTGTAAATTAATGCCACATCTCTCACCATTTTAAATCATGTCTTTCCCTGAATCTGTCAATTGTCAACAACTTAGTTGCCATGCATCATTAAGTAACTATGTCAATTGAAATTAGGCACCATTATCTTCAACTGGTTGAAAACATCATAAAATGCTTAAAATATAACAGCATAAACACATCTTTTATTCTTTTTAATTATATTTTTTTTTGTTGAAGAGGTCTCCAAGTATGTCCATCAAAGTTTTGTTGAATTTGCCACGAATGACAGTATCCTCATCAAGTCCATCCTTCTAACTTCTTATCAATATACTAACAATTATCACAAAAAAATGAAAATTGACTGTTCTTCAACGAATATAATGACGAAATCTCATAATTTTCATCAATGCCTACGTAATTATATACCCCCCATTTCCTTATCATACAAAACACGGCAACCCATTCTGATGTCCCATCTCTTCGAAAGATCCGTTCTCCCCATAATACATTAATGTAACAGAACAACACGAAAAATAGACGACTGGAAGTTGTAGCAAATTTGTTTACAATCAGTAATACAATTATTCAATCTATTCAAATTTACATACAACAACTTAATTACTTCTCATGAATTACTAATCTATCATATTAATCTGCGGAAAATGATATGTGTAGCCCTTTGAAAACTGAAACACTCGTACGAACACACGTGATTTTGTCATAAATTCCTAAATTAATAATTCAACAACGAAGCTACCACGATCATTTAAAATTTTAAACAAACAATCGCAATAAATTCAACTACTTTCAGACGAGTCAGCACTGAGCAAGAATAATTCAGCTCTTCATTTCCAATCAAATCAAAATTTAACAAACCTTTAAAATTCAATAAAACCAGTCGTATTTCGCCTCGACTAATCAAAACCACTAGTTCAAAGTCCAAATTAAATTAATAACCACAAAAAATACAAATAATCATTATAAAATCAATAAGTTAATAAATAATTAAACAAAAAACAGGCAATTGTCACGCTATTAATACACTGATCATGCAATTATGCAGAAGAACAAGTAATTAATCCATTACAAAAATTAAGTTGACATTCAAAAAAATCAATTGAAAAACACAAAACAAAATTAAACCTGAAGAAAACGAATCGAGAAGCGTCGTAATTAGATGACCATCAACAAACAGAGATTTGCAAAGAAGTTTGAAAAATTCTTGCAGATTTTGCGGCAAATTTGAGGAGAGAGAAAGTGAAAAAGAAGACGGCGATAATAAAAATTGGATGTGTTAATTTGTCGCTTTATTTCTGTTGCTTTTTTATAGTAGTAGTACTACTTCCGTATTAATCATGCAACAAAAAAAGGAGGAGAGAGAAAATTAGAGAAGCTGCCGCCAAGATAAGTATGAATGTATGATGAAATTATACTACGGAGTACTAATTTTTTAAAAAAAAAAAATTTGTTTTGAAAAGTTTATTTAATGAAAGTTGCTAAAGCTATATAAATAGACATTTTTGGAGTATATAGTATATTTGTGAGGTATGATCATATGAGGTGTGATGCGAGTGAGGCCATGTTATGGTATTCAAAGCTTAATACATGTGGATCTTGTAAAATTTTCTTATTATTTGATTTTATTTTTGGTGATTTCATATGATTGATCTAGTGTTAATTGAATTTTAAATTTGAATTATTTAGATCTGTATTAAAGGTGCAATTAAATGACTTTTTTACAAGTATGAATTTGGCATGGATGCGAAAAAATTTATTTTATAATTGAGAATTGATACTAGTAATATCTGAAAGGGTTCTACCTGATTTATTTTATAATTGAGAATTGATACTAATAGTGGCATTGATTCCACCTTATATCCCTGAGGTTTAGGAATTAAATCTCATATGACTCATTTGAGGGATTTCCCTAGTCTCCCCAAAAATAAAACAAAACAATAATTAAACCCAAGAGATAAAATGGTGCCGCTTGGAATCAGCTCCATGATTTCGTGTTTCATGTCAATTATTTAAGATTCCAATGGTTAGGTGTTGGAGTGGGACACTAAGCTGCCTGAGCAATTGAGCATGCATGAATGCAGCACCCAATTATTTAGTGGCTACAACTTGTGCCATTTTGCAAGCAATGTATGGTCCAACTCATTACTACGACAGAAGACAAACTTTGCCCTCATCTAATTTGAGGCATACTTACCAAATAAGGTTTGATTCAATTAATTATATTCTTAATATACGACTAATCTTGTCAAAAAAAAACATACGACTAGATCTTATTCACTTGTGCCAAGCTCGAACAAGCATCAAGCATTTTGAAATCTCGGATGAGCTCATCTCCAACTCATCTATTAAGCCAAATAGGTGAACATGGGCTCGGCTCGGCTCGTAGACATAAATATATAGTAGTAAGCCCAAGCCGCCCAATTTTATACTGCATGCAATACATGGGAATTGACCAATTAACATGCTCTCCATAAGAGTACAGAGTATGAAAATGATTGAAATGGAATTTAATTTAATTAAAAGGCCTGCCTCAGAAATAAGCCAAAACATATTGGGACAATGATTTTAAAATGCATGTGTGGCCTTGTAAATTCTGAACCTCATTCCAATTAGATTGCTAAAAAAACGTTTCTAAATAATATGCATGAATTGAAATCATGTCATTCATGTCCCAAATGATACTACAAGTTGAGACTAGTCTATTGTCGTAATTTCCATTTCATCTCACATTTCTGCTCTTACGTAGAGAGAGTAAGAAGAGCAGGAAGATAAGAACGCGGGAGCCAGGGTGTAATTTTACATCTAGGTGTTGTGAACATCATTAACCTTAGACTTATTCCAAAATAATTTGTACTTGATGTAACGTCTTTTGTTTTCATATTAATCCCACGATCAATAACATTCTCCATCTTAATCCAAGTTAAACAAGAAAACTTTGCATCCCTACTTAACACTTAATACTCTAGGCTAATCTAGAAAGAACTAAAGTAAATATACCTCAAATCACCACTAATTAATTTAGTATGTGCTAAAATATCCAAATCTAGTTTAAATAAGAGGTTTGTAGTTATAATAATTTTTTGACTTAGATACTATTCCAAAAGCAGAAGATCGTTTGCACCTGGAAACTTGAAATGGTGACAAAAGAGACGGATAGAAGGCAAAGGGGTAGGGAAAAAGGGAATATTATGTCTTTTGGTTAAGCTAAAAGCATTTTTTTTAATTAATTAGTGACACTTGCCCTCTTAGCATTTTATTAAATCCTACTCTTAATCCTATTAGCAAACTAGATAATGTTTTTATCCGCTTATAGTATGAAGAAAAGACAATATTAATATATAATATTCATACTGAGCATAACAAGTTGCATAGTAAGGTCCTTTCTAGCTTTATCCATTAATCAAGATCGATTAAGATTATCAATAGGCAAACTACTCTGGTTGTCTTATACATGTCAGCAATGATAAGTGGTTTAACTACTACAGTATTCAAGTTAGTCATCCACTTTGTTCCTGAAAGTGTGACACATACACATGTAAGTACATTCGCGAATGCATGGGGTGTCAGTTGACACTCTGATATAAATAAAGTCTATGATTAATTCTTTATACAAAGTCGTGTATTGTTCAGTTTTATTAATGCAAGCGATACTCTGTAGCTGCCCTAATAGAGTAATAGTATTACACACTAAAGATGACTACCACTGCTGTATCAGGCTTGATGAGCTTAGTTAAGGTAAAATATGAATATGCAGTAACAAAGTATTGAAATGGATGAAAGGAAAATGTTTGCATTGCGAAATACAGTTTTACAGATTACATGAAGAAACTATAATAATAGCTTTTCCAACTTCTCTTTGCTGCTTCCACTAAGATCTATCTGCCTTAGCAATTGGTGGTAAAATAGATGAAGTAGAAGCATTAAAAAGAAGCATGGAGGAAAGAACTGTTGGAAATAATAAAAGGGAAAAATAGAAAAATAAAAGTAATATAAGGTGAATAATAATCTGGAAATTTAGTTGGGTGAGTCGCGGACAACCTTCGGCTCTTTTCAAGACGATTCACGCCCTCTAATACAAATCGTAGAGAGTAAACAGCGCGTCGTCCCCAAGATAAAACCCCAACTTATACACTCCATAATCTACGTATTAAGGAGTAGAAGCTTATATAATAACCAAAATACCTAACTTAACTTTTGTATATTATCCAAGTATGTGGGAGAATGTTGTTTTTGTAAAAGAAACGTAAAATTATATATGTATATGAAAATGATACTCCACAAAACAAGTTTATATAACGAAGAAATATATATGTACGTTAGTACGTTACATTGTCATGCAACAACTCACTGCTTGTAACTCCAATTTCAAGTTGCAAAATGTAACTCCCCAATCAAAGCATTTATACTGACATTAACATTTTGTCTTTAAAATCTTCTCCTCATAAATGTAATTAAAGCCAAATCATGAGGATGACCGTAACATCCAAATCTAACGTTCATTCCTTGACGTTAGTATTAGTAAATTAAAGCATTTTCAATTTTTGAAAATTAACCAATAAAAATTTAGTAACCTTCAAATAAATTAGGAGTTACAAATTTCATAATAATGATTTTAAATTATAATGAGTAAATATATAAAACAGTAATTTAAGATTAAAGAATTCATTTACATTTTTAAATTTAAAATTTTAAATATATTATATTAAAGATCAATTAATAATATTAATTATTTTTTAGTTAAAATATCCAACAAGAACTAAACCTATCAATCTATCATACAAATACAACATGTGGTCTGCTGCTTCACAGTTTTTCAGATACACTACAATACTGCAAAAAATGTACTAAGGAGTTCTTACAGCTTAATTTGTTGGACAATTCTCCAAACTAAGCTTTATTACGAAACTAATTACAAAAGTAGACGCGGGGCAAAACTATTTATCAAACTAAGCTTCTGGGTAAAACGCTGTCTTTTTACTTGTTGACTTTTTTATTTTAAAATAATAAAAAAAAAAAACCTCAAATTGAACCAAAGTTGAATTTATATAATCAATCAAAAATCATACGACAAAGTACTCAAATCAATCAAAACTACAAGTTCCTCGAATTGAAAATGATAGTACGAAATTAAGAAGAATAATACTAGAAGTGTATCACTTATGAATCTCGTCGACGTCGATCCAAAACCGGTGAACTTCTCGCTCCAATCACTCCTCCGAATTGCCGCTACTACCACTCAATCTCCCTTGTAATTCACTCCGTATTTTCTGACTAAGCTTGCATGCTTCATTCGGTAGAAGACCTCCCAATTTATACACAATTGACAGCCATAATCGTGGGAAAGAAGATAAATAATTCCCAAAATTGGTTGAAAAATATACGGCAATCAATTGTCAAACTTGCCATACTGTGAAGTCGTGATTTCAATGAATAACATTTGAGCAAATCTTTGGGGTAAGTGAGAGTTAAGAGAGGAAAAGAATTAAACATTTTTTTTAAAAAAAAAAATAATCAGAAATTAAGAATTAAAAAAAAAATTACACTAAAAACGCTACCTCAGTCAGCGTTTTACACATTGATTTTTTTTTTTAAAAAAAAATCAGGGGTAAGACAGCGTTTTACTCCACAAGCTTAGTTTGGTAAATAGTTTTGCCACGTGTCTACTTTCGTAATTAGTTTCGTAATTAAGCTTAGTTTGGAGAATCGTCCTAATTTGTTGCTCGAATACCTTGCTGTCATTTAGGTCTGAGGATTCCGATATTCCAAAAAACCACAGCAATACTTTTTATTTTCTTCACTATCTTTTTCCCAACCTTTTTGGGGGAAAAGGGTGAAAGAATACCATCTGTTCAGGCTTCAAACCTTTTGTGTGGAACCATTTTTGGCCCATCAGTTTTGATAGAGTTTTGCCCTCCAAGGAGCAGTAAGCTTCAGTGCACCAAAAACGCGTTCTTATTTGAGAAGTCTTCAAAAGTTTCATTATCCCTCTCCAAAACGAAGCAATGGCTGTCTTTATATACAGCATGATGACCAAGCTGTAACCGCCGGCTCTTAAAGGGTCCGAATAAATTGTTCAAACGTTTTCTTCTCTTCGCAACAGTTAATGACACTTTTTTTTCATTCATATTTATTCGCACAAGAAAAAATCAACTTGTTCAGAGGCAGAAGTCTATACAATTCACTTTCATCATATATGTTCCACACAAAAGGGAGGAAAATGTACAGCATATGTCTTCAATTATATTTCCTCTTACAGTCCAATATTATGCATCACACAAATTCGAGTCATATAACTATTGATATTGTTTTGTTTATACCCTTCCCAAAAAAAAATCACATCCCATATTCAAAAAAGGGAAGAAAATGCACAGCATATGACTTCGGTTATATTTCCTTTTACAGTCCAATATATGCATCACACAAATTCGAATCATATAACTATGAGGGAGCCCTAGTTAATCTCAGAGTTTATCTCCTCTCACAACTTTATGCATGGATTTCTGTGTCCCTTTATTATTTTACTTTTATCATTTAACAAATTAAAGAAAATGATTAGGCTGTGAGAGGAGATATATTCACAGATTTATCTCAAGAGAGAAACTTGAATTTACCCTATAACTATTGATATTGTTTTGTTTCTACCCTTCCAATAAAAAGATTTACATCCCCTAATCATAAATCATGACAACCATAACTACATACTTTATACCTTGTATAATTCACTCCCTCTGTCCGTAAACAAATCACGTATTTATTTTAAGCCATCCCGATTTGATAAGCCACTTTCTATACTTCATATTTAGCAAGTCAAAATTAAAACTTTCCTTCAACATCTGCTTCAGAGAGCTAATTACAGGTGCCTTTAAAGAATCACAAGAGCCTAGACAGGATGCAAATATATTGAAAACCAGAATAACCAATTACCGAAGGCAATCATGCAGACTTTACATGCCGGACAGTGGAAGCGGGATTCAACAAGACACAAGCAACTGTACATGGTACATCTGATAATGGGTAGAAGAGGAAAGAATAGCTCGCCTTAAATGTGGGTGGATTTTTTAGAGCTATCAAAGACATTGCCTTGTGCAAGTCACTCAACTTCTCATCAATTGCATTCTTGTATCAAAATCGAGGCACATGAGAATATGATATAACCAGGAACAGTATTTGATGAAAAATCTGTGAAGAGCTCAGGTGGCATCAAATCGAAGTCAGGCAGAACCAAACTGAAGTCATACAAAAGGCAATAAGTTGCTCATATTCGCACGTTGCAACATAGCCATATAGCGCATACCAGTTGTTACTTTTCTAAGTAAATTCTAAACACATATTGCAGGATTAAATCACAGCGTTAATCCTGTGAAATGCAGGATAGACATTTATGATGGGGTGTTCATAGCTCATATAGAATTCCATGCTAAGTCCGCTAACAGACATCTACTAAGGTGAAAGAGTTGCGTAAGAGTGTCTGTATGCAATCCAATTACAGGTACACCTCTTTGTCCACATCACCAGCATGGGCCAAAGCAGGAAGTAAACAAGTTGCTAAGTTGCATACTTAAGTATATAATGTAGCAACATACTAAGAAGACGAACTTCAGAAAACAACTAGAGAATTTGGAAGTCTGCAGCCAATTTTATTTCCAAATTACATCACATGTTACAAAAAACCAGAAATTAAATTTACAATAGTTCATATTCAACTTTAAAAGGTTAACATGGGTTCTCTAACTGGCAACTACTAAGTTCACAATATTCACAATCAAAACTTGAAATTTTATTAATGTTGACCAATCTATGATTGCAATTTAGCAAAAGAATTTCACAACTCAACCAATTTTGGAACTAATTTTTAAACATAATAATCTTTTCACATAATATACCAGGAAAACAATGATACTCAGAAGATAGAAATTTTGCAAAACATATCTTTACGAAATTATACTGGTAGGATAATCAAGTACCTAATTTGTGATAGAACACTAGAATATTTGGTTATATTGCAAGAATTAATAGAATATAAAAGGCAAAAGAGAAGACATGACATACAAAACACAGAGTAATTGCTTAGGAGAAGCAAAGAGAACAATATCAGCTTCAAGAATGTTCTGACAGAGTGATTCAACAACAGAAAGACCTGACTCCTAAGGCCATTTTCAGCATCTTCCCTAAAATTTCAGCTTCCCTCTTTTTTTAGTGGGATTTGCTTATGTGGCGTGATAAAACTGGTAGTGTTCACCGCATCTAGAAACCTTGAGTTCTTTGTTTTCTTGAAGCAAAAATCACGAGTTCTTTTAATTCCATATGACTACCTAAAAGTGAAAGCAACATTAAGTTAGTTTCTGTTACATCAATAACAAAAAGAATAAGACAATTGGAAATGCTAGATAGAGTAGTCAGTCAAGTCATTCACTGGCACTACTCTTCTGTTATTCCCTTTGCTTCTTCTGCTATTCATATTTATATTTATTGAAACAAAAGAAAATGACACAGATGAGATATATTTGACAGCGAGCTTTTTAGACACAAAACATGGCACAACAAAAAGAAAGATCAATCCTTTCTAACAACCTAAAAAGCAAGATTCAGACTCTTGAAGCCTTTAGACAGTTGAACAATTTCTGTAACAACGTTTTAGAAGTTATAGTGGATCAACATGAATTCATACAAATTCATACATTCTAGGAAGTTATAACCAACATTCCGGGATTTAGACAGTTAGACTATTTCTGTAACATCGCTTTAGAAGTTATAGTTAGACTCTTAAATCTCACGATCTATATTCTGGGATTTTGTGATCCACATAAATTCATGTAATCAACTTAACCACTCATTAAGAATGATTAATTGCTCTTATAGTAAATAGAAAGTACTAATAAAATTTATCATTTTAAAACACTATCAGTAATACAATACTAATAATTCAATAAGAAAATCACTAGATTATACTAAGTAAAATAGTTATACGGCAGATGCCAAAGAAACTCGCTTATTAGACAACTTGTTGAGACTACAATTCTAAAAAAATACATATCTAAACTACTCTTGTACATTGTGCAACACACTGACTTGCATCAAAAAAACAGAGGAAGCAAAGTGCAGCAACGGAAACTTAAAATCAATTCAGCATGCAACACACAGCCTCACAAACTAGGCAACCCAAAGAGCCCCAACACTCATGTTAACCAACAAACAGCAGCCACTTTTACACCCAACACACCCATTTTACAGTCTTCTGTCCCCTGCAGCCTCTGCACTTGCTGCCCAAAGTGCAGTCACACCCAAGCAAACTTCTTGTAGCGTCACACACATACTAAAACAGCCCTGTGGCTACAACATCTACACAATTCGCACACAACACACAGACAAACACAACCCTTACTCGCCAAGACTCCCTCGCAATCCCCTACACATACACAACAACACAACTAACACCCCACAAGGTCTCAAGCACAGATCAATCCTTGTACAGACCAAAATAGAACAGCCTGAACCACCCCTTACACGTGCAACACCACATTTCACCCCCGCAATAACAATTGTGCCACAACATAAACCTTACGGATAATCACCAATCAACTAGAGCAAATAATCCCACTGCAAAGTGCTTCTTACCCAGGAAAAGGCCAATTAGCAGGTAAAATAATACAGCTATTGTCACTACCTATAGAGGAAATACAAGTTTATCTCCGTGATAAACAAAGAGGACAAAAGTGTAAGTTTTGCGGTGAAAATGAGTAAAACTGCTACTTGAGGTAGCGGTTTTGCCTTAAAACTGCTATTTGCTCAAAATCGCTACTTGAGGTAGCGGTTTTACTCCGCAATAAACAAAATTTGTTTATCACGGAGATTAATTGGGCCAGCCTCCTACCTATAAACCTTAAAACACATTGCAGTAGGCAATATCCAAAAGAACAGTCAATAGGTTTGGCTTCTTATTAGAGTGGCAGCCTTCCAAATTTACTCTCATTCTCTATATACATCTTTTGGAGTCCTCTCACAGCATGTTACTTCTCCGGACTCGAGCCAACTATTGTTTTAATCAATATACAAGTATATACCTTTACTAACAGTTTTCACACAATAATTGCAATTGACCTTATACTCATCTTGACTTAATGGCATGATGCTGACTATTGCTAAGGGTAGCAAGCAAAAGCAACAACGGCATTTCCATCAAAGACATTACTTGAAAATCTGGATTTCCAATTTACATCACACATTACAAAAATCCTAGAAACTAAATTCACCATCATTTCATATCCAACTCTACAAGGTAAATTGGTTCGTCTTTCTCTAATTCACAACCACTATGTTTACAAATCAAAATATTCACAATCAAAACTCGCAATTTTACAAATGCCAACCAAAACAATAATTGCAATTTAGCAAATAAAATTGCCTAAAAATCAACCAATTTGGCACTATTTCTTAAGCAGGATAATCAAGTACCAATTTTTAATAAAATACAAGAACATTGAGCAAGATTGCAAGAATTAACGAAACATAAAAGGGACAAGAGAAAACATAACATACGAAAACCCAAAAGAATACAGCAGTAATATTTAAAAAATCAATACTTAATAAATTCAGTGAGGCATTTCATCGAACACCTTGCAAACAGTCACCCAGCTTGCCGCCAAAACACGTCGCACTACAAATTACAAACAAAAATAAATCTTTAAAAATTACTTCAACTTAATAATTAATTAATTAATTAATTAAAGAAGAGAGAGACAATAATCACCTAAAAAAAATGAGGAAAAAATGTCGACACTCTTAACACATTCTCTCCCCAAAAAGTTACCTTTATTGGTTGAACAATTCTGAAATGAAAAACCATGTTCTTGATAAATGTCGACATTGTTAAACCATATTTCTTGTTCACCTCTTTATTATCATCATCCCTGTTAATCCAAAAAAACCTAGAGAGAGAAAGAAGAAAAAAGGGGTTTTCTCTCTCTAACTATCTATCATTCTTTCCAACAAATTGCGAATTGAATTACGCAAAATTTTCCCGTAATTCGAGAATCGTGTCCTTAAAAAAATATACCCTTTTTATATAAAACCCTTTTTATCACTTGTATTTCTTCCCATGTCTTCCTTCTTCCAGGTTTGTTTATTTTTCTTTTCTTCTCTTTTCTTTTTCTCTCAAAAAAAAAAATTTTAAAAAAAATTGAGTTGAGTTTTGATTTCAATTATAATGGGTTTTAATTTCTCAAACAGGATTTCTTGTTCCCAATACTCAGCCTCAAGCCCATCAGGGAAAACTTTAATGTGTTGTCAGGTATACTTATTTTTTTCGACTCATTTCGATTTAAGTGTTACGTTACTAGTTCAAGTTACATATACTTGTATTCTATCTTTTGTTTGAATGTTACCTTGTTGTGGTCATATAAGCTATTAGTTCAAGTTACACTATTTGTAAATTTGATTATTTGATGAGTATCTGAAAATTTTAAGTTTGTTACGTTACTAGTTCAAACTTTAAAGTGCAAGTAATTATTTTAGTATTTTGGTTTTTCTTCATTCTTCAATGTTACCTCCTTTCGTAGTCATTCGACTATGTGTCTATGTTACTAGTTTGAATTACACTGTCAATTTTGGTCCAATCGAGATTTGATGGGATTTTCTTAGGGGGAAAACAAATGTTTTTGCACCCCTAAACAAAGTTGATTTTCTTGGATCATTTTCCCTCCTTATAAAAATCAATGTTCGTTTTCTGTCTTATATAGTACTCCGTAACATCAATTTCAGAGTTTTGGGACCATTTATCTGCGAATTTAATTCCAACTTGAACTCCTCGACAAGCGAAAATCCCCGTAACAATAAATGATTGATCAATGAAAACTCCATTTTATCGCCATTTTGATATAAGAACAAGAACAACACTCTGTTTTCTGTCTAACTAAGTGAGGAAATTACCAGAATCTAACGATCTTGGCATTGTGTTTTTACCAAATATAGGTACCCTTTTGAGGCAATTTCAAGAAACAATGTCTAATGCCACCTGTAAGCTGTCTGATTCGATGTGTCGCGACGACACGGCCGCATTGACTCTTAAACTGGTGGCAATTGGGTCTATCTTAGTGGCCGGAGCAACGGGGATTACGATTCCGTTGCTCGGCCGGAGAAAGAGTTTTCTTGCTACTGATGGGAATCTATTCATAGCAGCAAAGGCATTTGCTGCTGGTGTTATACTTGCTACTGGGTTTGTACACATGTTGCCTGATGCTGGTCAAAATCTTACTAACTCATGTTTACCGACTCACCCGTGGTCGGATTTTCCGTTTTCGGGTTTTATTGCAATGATGGCTGCATTGGTAACATTGCTTGTGGATTTTGTGGGGACACAAGTGTATGAGAGGAGAGCGGAGAGAATGAAGAGGAAAGGGGATGGTTTGGGGCTTGATGGGTCACTTGACTCGGTTTCGGCTGCCGGGGTTTTGCCGGCTGATCGGTTGGTGGTGAGTAGTAGTGGAGGAGGGAGCATTGTGGGGATTCATGCTCATGAACATGGTCATGATGGTAATGGGGTTGATGGACATGTTGTTGAAGTGTATGATGATGGTCATGGACATGGACATTCTCATAGCTTTGGTGGAGATAGTAATGCCCGCCATGTGGTCATTTCTCAGGTAAATTAAATGCCTTCTATTTATTTTGGTTTTGCTAAAGTCTTGTATGAATTAGTCGCAATTGTGACTTTGAGAGAGCAACGTTTAACTAGAATTAAATAATTTAGTATGAGACAGTCTCAGCACATTCATTAGTTTTGAGAGTTTACCTACGGAAGTGATAGTATTTGCTTATATTTTTAATTAAATAATTTGGTATGAAAAGGTCTCAACTCATTCATTGGTTTAGGGGGTCAATGTATGGAAATGATAGTATTTGCTTATCTTATCTTGTACACGAATTTGCAACTTGTTTGCTTCAAATGACATGTATACTTGTATGGTGTGCATTTTCCATTAGCTATCAAATTACTTCTATGGTGTGCACGTACTAGGCATGTGTCTCACTGGTCCCTTGCATTACTTCGCAATTTCTGTTTGAATTGTAGTTTGTCATCTAAAAAGCCATTGAACGACAGTTTTTATTTATTCGTTTTTTATGGAGTATATGATGTCTCGAGTTGACAACCATGTGGGTTGATTAGTTAAGATTCGTGTTAGTGTTTTCCTTAAGCAAGTATATTCTTTGGTGTGTAGAAATATTCAATGGTTGATAGAAAAAGTAAACAAGTAGGGCAATTACAAAATACAATCACGTCACGTTTGAATAGTTTCTAGCATTAGCAACTTAGCAATTTTCTTGGCCTTCCCTTTCTTCTAATAGAAAAAGTCACCTTAGATTTGAATAATGGTCACGGTTGATCATGAACCCTTCATATCCTGTTGAAAATTATGAATTATGTAAGCTTTCTACACAATTTATTCTTATTAATAATCACGATGATTTAGTGAGTGCAAGTGACTATTTCAAGGAGACTGAGTGTGATAAGTGTATTTCTTTGATAAAAGAACAATTTAGGACAATAGATACAATTGTTTTCATATTTTATTTAAAAAATAATTATTAGAAAATATACTCCTTTCTTATCTGTAATTTGAGAAGATTTGACGATTTCTTTACCTCTCATAAAACAAACTAAACTCTAAATTTGTAGTGGGGTATTCAACTAGTTAAACTTTGAAGATATTTTAGGATGTTTCAAATAAATTTGCCTAAAACAGTTTGAGTAGGGCATTTCCTTGATATTTTTGGTATTAACCATTTATTTTTTGTTCTTAAAAGTTTGCTTGTTAAAGTAAGTTCTTTGAATCAAAGAGGTTTCGTCAAAAAAAATATATATATTTATATATATAAAAATAAATAAATAAAAAAGACAAACAGAAAAGAGGTGGTTTTTTACTCAAAGCAACTAAGCCAAATCTTGTGGCATATACTGTTTAGATGGTCCTTTTTGATCTTTTTTAAAAATAAGATTCTACTGCTAAAGACTAAATTAGCGGACGAGCTTTTTCTTTCTGAGCATATGGTTCGTTGAGTAAGCAACAGTAGGAAAAGATAGAAAGTCTACTTGAACAATTATTGATTCTCCATTAATCAGTTGTAGAATCTTGGACCAATGTATTTTTAAGGGTATGGAACAAAAGGGAAAAGGGGGGAACGTATCTAGCGTCTTGTTGAAATGGTTTTTATTATTCATCCAACTACTTTTTGCCTTTCATCTTTAAGTAATCCTCAATGACCAGGGATTTTATGTAGGTTAGCATTGAAAGATACTGAAATAGTATCTAATCGAATGTCACACACGAGTTTTTGTTATAGATGCTGAGGACTGTTTCAAAAGCACTGATCTTTATTAAGGTGAGTGGTTTCAGCTATTTTAGATAAAAGAAAGTGGATTTAGCATAGTGTAAGTGATGGTCCTTTGCTCTGCCTCATGTAGTGCTTGAAGAGCTAAACCACCCCAAGCTAAGAAGCAATGCCGCTTAGATACAGGAACTGTATTTTTTAGCTAATATGTTGGAACATTTGGAAGCTCATTAATGCTAAATAATACCTTTTTACATTGATGGAAATATGAAAAGCTTGTTTATTGTTTCCCCCTTCTTTATATGCACTTGTTTTTCTTTTCTTTTTTTTTAATTATATTATTTCTTGTGTGTGCAGGTTTTGGAGCTTGGAATTGTTTCACACTCGGTCCTCATTGGATTATCTTTAGGAGTGTCTCACAGCCCTTGCACAATAAAACCATTGGTTGCTGCATTATCCTTCCATCAATTCTTCGAGGGCTTTGCCCTTGGAGGTTGTATAGCTCAAGCCCAATTCAAGGAAAAGTCCACCATCATCATGGCCTGTTTCTTCGCCCTAACAACCCCTGGAGGCATTGCTGCAGGTATCGGCCTTGCCTCCTTTTACAACCCGGCTAGCCCAAGAGCCCTCATTGTTGAGGGAATTCTCGACTCTATATCAGCAGGGATCCTAGTCTATATGTCCTTGGTTGACCTAATAGCAGCTGATTTCATGAGTAAGAAAATGAGATCGAACACTAGACTCCAGGTTGTGTCTTACGTTGCTCTTTTCATGGGTGCTGCTTTAATGTCAGCGCTTGCTGTCTGGTCGTGATCTATTGGTAAACTTTAACCTAATGTGACTGCTTTTGGAATTTGTGTGTGTTGTGTTTAACTGCTGTCCATAAATCACAACTGGGGAGTTCTTTTTTAGAGCCCGGTTATTGATTGTTTCATGCTTAAAGAGCCTGGTAAATTGAAGATGTATCTGCATATCTGCTTGGAGGGAAGTGTGGTTTACAGTGGGGGAGGAGGAGAATAATTTACTGGGCATTAAGTGTGAATTTTTGTACTGCCTGTACAGTGCTGTGTGGCTGTGTATACCGGTAACCAACCGAAGTTTTTGTTCCGTGACCCTGTAACTAGAATTGTTGCCTGTGCTAACTAGATAAAGGAAAGGAAAATGATGAAGATGAAAAAAAGACTGATCAACAGTATACTATCTTATACAAAGTATCTCTGTACATATGTATTTTGAAATTTTTGCCATCAAACGCTATTATAGCAGTATTGTACCAATTACCAAATATGTTTTCTATACTCTTAATCTCTTAGTAAATGCAAAGTTTCATATTTGGCCCTTTAGATGTACAATTGCATTGGTGTTTTGACTGGCCTTTGAATCAAAAGTTATCCAGTAAAGGAAACATGATTAGCTATAACTTGGTCATTGGCAAACATCAATCAACAATCTAACTAAAAGAGCGAGTATATTGGCAGCCAGGATGGCTATCCATGGACCATGGAGAATGACTTGCTAGCCTTCGGAATTTGCACGCTAAAGCTACTTCGAAATGAGAAGTAGATTTAGAAACCAATTATCCGAGGACTAGGCAATAAATTACTATCAACTAAGTAAGCAAGTAACTAGGAAGGCTATAGTACCAATGTCCAATGATGTGCAAATGCTAAAGGAAAATGAGATTCAATGTAACCAATTTACGAATAGAGCAACAAGGGTATACATATAGTTGAAATTTAGTGACAAAGTCATGTATCGTTCGTTGTTTATAACTTAACGCAAGATATTTTTACTCAGTTATGGAGTACTACAGCACACTATCAGAGTGACAGATTTATAGTTATTAATAACTACCACAAATTATCTACGAGACTACAGGTACATCATTCTATATTAGAGCAACTCCAATGGTTAGGAAAATGGACTAGCTTGCAAATATTAAAAATTTTAAGCTAGTAGCAGCTATACCATTGTTGCACATCTTGTTGATTAGCTTGGTAAATATTTATTAGATAAAAATTATTATTAATTTAAAAATAAATTAACTTACAACTAGCTTAACCATTGGAGCAACAAATAGCTGGAATTATTGTAGCTTGAGAAGATGATGTGGCAACCATTGTAGTTGCTCTAATAATACTACTAGTAATTGTATTGAGCTAGATGAACTTAGGGTAAGATAATAACTTAGTAATGAAAAGGGTGAAAGGAAAATGTTTGCATTGTGAAATACAGTTTTACAGATTACATGAAGAAACTAATAATAATAGCTTTCCCAGCTTCTCTTTGCTGCTTCCACTAAGATCTTTCTTGCCTTTACAAATCGAGGCAAAAAAGATGAAGTAGAAGCAGCAAAAAGAAGCGTAGAGGAAAGAACTAAGCTACCATATTTTACAGACAAAACAACACAACACAATGCATCATGTGGTTCCTACTTCAACATGTGGTTTTCTGCTTAACAATTTTTATCAGATACTACAATCTTGCAAAAAAAAATGCACTATAGAGTTCATAAGCTTTGCGGGTAAAAGGGCAGAGGATATGATCCGGTCAGACTTCAGACCTTCTGTGTGGTGCCATTTTTGGCCCATCTGGTCTGATAGAGTTTTGCTCTACTAGGAGCAATAATCTCCAGCGCACCAAAAACGCACTTTTTGTATGAGAAATCTTCAAAAGTTCCATCATCCCTCTCCAAAACGAAGCAACGGCTGTCTTTATACTCAGCATGATGACCAACCTGTAACCACACAGCTCTCAAGGGTCAGAATAAGTTGTTCATCTTCTTCTTTTCATAATTGTCAAGAGCACTTCTTTTTATTCATTTTTACTCACAACAAACAAGACGCATAAGTTAATGCAAACCGTTTTCATCATGTTCCACAAGATAGGAAAAGAGATGTACAGCATATTTGTTGTCGGTAATATTTCCTTTTACAGTCCAAAATTATGTATCACACAAAGTACAATCATAAAACTATTGATATTGTTTTGTTTCTAACCTCCCATAAACATTCTTCCATCCCCTCTTCATACATATGACAATCATTACATTTATCTTTTACTACCTCCATCTATAAAAACAAGCCAAATTTCTATTTCAAGCCATCCAAATATATAAGCCACTTTATATATTTAGTAAGTCAAATTTTCCCATATTTCCCTTAAAGATAATCATAACTAAAAGTTCCAAAGACAGATATTGGTACCGTGCTTCAAGGCATTAGCATTAGCATTAGCATTACAGGTGCTTCAAAAGAAACCCAAGAGCCAGTACATGATTCAAATATGACAGAAAACCAGAATAACCAAATACTGGGGACAATTATGCAGAGATAAAATGCCCAACATGCTACAGTAGATAAGGGATTCAACAAGTTAAAAGGAACAGTACATCTTATAATGGGAAAAGAAGGGCAAAGAAGGGCTTGCCTTAATATCTACAGCTCCACTCCCAATCTTCTCCTCTCGGTGTGGGTGGAATTTTAAAGCCATCAACAACATTGCCTTGTCAATGTCACTCAACTTATCATCGATTTCATACCTGGATCAAAATCAAGGAACATGAGAATATGATATGTGGGTATAATTCATATAGTGCCCGCCCAAGAATCTGTGGCAACACCAATCACCACAAAGATGAAAAAAATTCCGGCACAACCTATAGAAATCATACAGAAGGCTATAGTATTCGCACCATGCAAAATAGTCATATAACTCATACTTCGTATCAGTTCACTTAAGTGGTTTTTTTAGCACATATTGCAAGATTAAAGATTGGTTGTTCATATTGCTTAGCCTGTGCAATGCAGACTTTTAAGAACGAGTTGTAGACAGCTCAATAAGCTCATAAAGATTTCCGCAGTAATTTCAGTAATAGACATTAATAAAGTGTAAGCGTGTCTGTATACTGTACTACCATGTCATAGTATGCTATCCAATTTCAGGTATAGGCCCAAGCAGGAAGTAAAAAGGGTTGCCTACTGTATGATGTCTAAAGCTTATTAAGTGTACAGGCATTTAGACAAATTTTCCTGGATATACTGAATATACTATATGCTTCTAAGTGAAATTCTTGTAGTTGATTTCATGAATTAAAGAGAAAAATGTAGGAATATAGTCTTTAATTTGAAGTTGAAATCCATTCATCACTAATGCTCCTTTAAAATGGAATAATTATGGACCAAATATTTCTTATCATATTCTTACTTTCTTAAGTTAATCAAACCTTCAAAATAAATCAAAATGGACAAATAGTACCAACTTTGGGCTTTGTATTCTCATGAAGATACACAGACACGCAGTGGTCTTTCACTCCTCAAAGTAGTCTCCCAAATAGCCAAATGAAATTAAGTGTCGGATTATGTAGGATTATTATAGAATACAACTATATGTGGATTTATTTTCAGATATTCCAAAGTCTTAACTAATGTAAGAACACTGTCAAAAATTCAGTCTGTTTATGTTAATTGTTTTTTTTCTCTGGATTTAAAAATTCATACAGGGGCAAGAAATTATGTTGCGTTGCATTTGACCTCTTGCCATGGAACTACAAAATAAGTTTGTCATTAACACCTCACTAGTATGGTTCGTGATAGGAGTAAACAGAAAACAACTATTTCAAATGGATGCAAAAATAAGCCACTAAGTAATACTCCCTCCTTGGTTCAGTGGATGAAAAGGTATTAGTCGGATGATTGTTGATGAGAGAGTATACTAGGACCGAATACTCATTAAGGAAATGGATCATTCTTTTAGGGACACCCAAAATAGGAAAATGGAGCATACATATAGGGAGAGGGGTAACTAATAGACAGAAAGGTCAGAAACAGAATATTAAAAGTTGTAACAAAATACAGGACATCCACTTACTTGTACAATATCCTCTTCCATATCCGACCAAGCTTCCAAATATCATCCACAGAGAAATGCTTCTGTAAGAATTTCTTTGGAATCGCCGCATTGAAAACTTTTGCATTTGACCATTTATTAACATGGTGAGCACCAAGTTTTTCAGATACAATCGTCTGATCATTAGGGGGCAAATTGATTTTAGTTTCACTATCATGAGAACTTGTGTGGCTTGCCAGCAGGTTATAGATATCCACAGGCTTCTGGATTTCATGCCCCTGATAATAAAGACAACAGATAAGGTTAAGCATGAGAGACAGCAACAGTAATAAAACTAATAATATCAGGCAACAATGAAAGCATAAACATCCAGCAGAATCCTCTAGGCTTTAGGGTCTGGGAAGCCATTATGTAAAACCGATTATCCCGGGCAAACAAAGAAAACAGAGAGCATTATATATTTATAAAAGATAAAGCATGAGCAAAAGCAGCCAATGAGATTGAAAGTTTGAAACAGTAGTTGCAGTGAGAATGGACTCGCATTATAAAACAAAGGACTCTCTCCATTTAATACATAAGGCATCGCAGTGTTATAAAACCGACATCTGACCATTAACTTCCTTCATATACAATGAGAAGCATTATAAAATGTATGCTGTTGAAGTAATAAGGAAAATTTAAAAACTATGACTCAATGCATATTTTAAAAAAATTAATGATAAAGTTCGATCTTGAAGTGTGTGCGTCATGCTTAGAGTATGAAATGGAGGGAGTAGATGATAGATTAAGAAACGCACAAATGACTGCATAGCTGAATATTTCGAGTAAATTAAGAAAAAAAAAAAAAAAAAAAAAAAAAAGAAAGTAAACAAATGGGAGTAATTAAGTATAATCATCAAATATCATTAAAAATAACTATCCTTAACCAATAGCTCCCCCTGAATATTTAATCTTTTAATTTAACAATTGTAATCTAGGAGGTAAGTTTACCAAAAGAATTGAAAATAAGGACCTTCACTTTCAATATATTTTATGCAAAATACTCCATCCAAAATGAAATACTCAATCCAAAATGATGATGATATTTTCTAATATTAGCAGTCTCAAAAAATGAAGTTATTCGCAAGAAAGTGGGTGTCGCAAGAATTGCAGACAAACCAAGGGAAAATCGCATGCGTTGGTTTGGGCATGTAAGACGGAGACCCCAGGTACGAAGAGTGGGATCATGTAGAGGTTGAACGAAGTAGAGGGAGACAGAAAATAACTTGGTTGGAAGGAGTTAGGAAGGATATGAAGCATATGGATTTGCATGAGAATGAGGTATTTGATCGTAAGGGATGCAGGAGGAAGATTTTTGTGGATGACTATACGAAATAAACACTTTTGGTTCATGTAGCCGACCCCACTTATGGGATTAAGGCTTTGATTGATTGATTGAGCAGTTTCAAAAAATTAATTAGAAGTTACAAAGGAAAAATTGAAACTGCATTGAAATTATGCACGT